CATGATCAATCCACGTCGCACAGTGGCTTTGTTGGGTGACTTGCTGTTAAAAAAAGTGGGCTCCACCACAGCCTTTCCCGAGCGACAAGCACAACTATCACTCTACACCATCTATGGGTTGAAAGGTGCAAGGTGGTTTTCCGAGATCGGATTTTTTTTGTGTGGCGGGTTCTGAGGAGAATTGAAGTCGATATGAGATGCATGCGAGAGTGTTCATCAAGTTGACGGGTATGAAAACATGAAAGAAGGGCTGCTTTGAGCAATATTTGAAAATGGAAAAAGGTATTGCAGTAGGAGTTAAGGCTGCTGAAGTGCATCAAGGAAAAAGATGACAAAAAATGGAAGTGAACAACTGGCTTTGTCGCACTATGGGCCAACAATTTGACAAGACTGAGAATTACATAATGCTATACTAGAGTAACAAATCAATCTCATGATAGCATAAATGAATGTAGCGAATGTCATGATATCAAATTATACTCGGCATTCCTGATCGTAACAGATTTAGGCATTACCGAAAAAATGAATTGAAGGGACGGATGAGTCGAAGAACTATCGAGACCATTGTGGCAGAATCATTTGACAGTTGTGGCAGAATCAGATACATAGCAACTGCAAACCTGTTCTAATGATTACCAAATTGCATAGTTGCGATGTATCTGGAATAAGGGATTGTGCCCCTTTAAGTTCATGGCTAGACTGTTCGCATTTTTTGGATATGTGTTTTATAAACTGCTACATCTCTTTGATATAAGTAATTACATCATGTCACCAAGAACTACCTACGAACAACCCAGAGCAAGTTCCCACTAAGTCCCTCTACAGATCGTAACATCGGATAAAACAGTCATTCATCTTCTAATCGAACTAAGGCGTTTAAGCAAGCACGAAACGAATGAAATAGGATGGCCTGACAACCCATAGGAAAAAATGTTGAGATGCATGTTCACGTGCTAGTTGTATTCTGCGTGTTCGCCCAAACTCCCCGAACCAACTCGAAGGGCTTGGGAAACCAACTCAAAGGGCTTGGGAAAGTTGGACCAGTCGATTGCTACTTGACAAAAGGATTGGAAACCAATCACAAATATGGGGAAAATGCCTAGAGTAAAAAACTCTTTGCCAACGAGTGGTTTCCAAGTTGGTATCCATACCTATCAAATTGACAGAGAGGTGCATGGGGTAAAACATGATAGGCGGATGGGTGGTAAGGCATGGAGGCAAAAAAATGCGAGGCTAGGAGTTGCAAGGAGGAAAACATGATTGGCAAGAGGGTGGTGAAACATGGAGGCAAATTTGTTCAAGGCATGCTATTAGGAGGTGCATGGGGGAAAACATTACAAGCAGGAAGGTGGTGCGGCATGGAAGCAAATAGGTGCAAGGCAAGGTAATAGGAGGCCATCATATCAGGCAAAAAAATTCTACAGCTGTTCTTATAGAGCATGATGGAAGGAACCACCTCACCTTCGCCCAAATGTTACATCTATTTTATGCATATGATGAGAAAGGAGATTGCTTAGACAGCCTTGACGAAGGAAACTAATGCCATAAATCTGACACACCTAAAAGCACACGCTGCAACCATGCATTGCCATAGCTGTGCATTATGTTGCCATGTGCTGGTTCAGATTTTCTCCGATGATGCAAACTTCCGTGCGTTTGGCAAATTATTTCAATGCTCTATTGTTGTTGTTGTTGTTGTTGTTGTTGTTGTTGTTGTTGTTGTTGTTGTTGTTGTTGTTGTTGTTGTTGTTGTTGTTGTTGTTGTTGTTGTTGTTGTTGTTGTTGTTGTTGTTGTTGTTGTTGTTGTTGTTGTTGTTGTTGTTGTTGTCGTTGTCGTTGTTGTTGTCGTGGTTGTTGTCGTGGCTGATGTCATGGCTGCTGTCTTTTTTTTTTTTTAGAATCATGTTTGATAAATTATTGATGCTCTGTCGGAACCAACCTCTTGATGGTATGTGTAACACCTGATTGTGACAAATCTAGGCAAACGTTTGTTTTTTTGCAGCACCGCTCACATCACCCATGTATCAAGTACCCAGCCGCCCTGCTGGCAGCGTTCAATGTCATGCATCGTGCGTCATTTCATCCTTTCCCTTTTGCTCACGAGGAGGCATTATGTTTTCATGTGGTGTTGCTCTGGTTATCATGCCTGCCTTGTTTTGTTTTTGTCTGGGCAGTCCCCTGGTTGGGAACAACAGGGGAGCAGTAGAGAAGGTGAGTGTGCCATGGATGGCTCTCTTGTACGAGTGAGGTGCTTCCACCAGTTCCCACTCCTAATGGAACCTCAACTGCGCCAGCAAGAGCCCTGTGAGGCCAACACTGCTGCTCCTGGCGCTCCAAGTGGCAGAACCAGCAGCAGTGCAGCAGCAAAGATCCACGGGCGCCACTCCTATGCCAGCGTGATGTGCTGATGGCAAATTGGTTTACCAAAGGAGCTTTTTCAACCCACATCTGCTCCCACCAGATTCAGCCCCTGCTACCCCTCTCCCGTCCTCCTCTCTTCCATGTCATCGCGTCCCCTTAACCCTCTCACCTTTCATGCACCCCTCACAATCCCTTCCGTCTCCCCTGAACCTGGTGGGCAACCGAACGCCAATAATTGTGCTGCACACCTTCGATGTGCACAGCACCACGGTGGGTGAGCTGGCAGTCACCTGCTGGCAGTCACCAGCTGGCAGTCACCAGCTGGCAGTCACCAGCTAGCAGTCACCTGCTGGCAGTCACCTGCTGGCAGTCACCTGCTGGCAGTCACCTGCTGGCAGTCACCTGCTGGCAGTCACCAGCTGGCAGTCACCTGCTGGCAGTCACCAGCTGGCAGTCACCAGCTAGCAGTCACCTGCTGGCAGTCACCTGCTGGCAGTCACCAGCTGGCAGTCACCAGCTGGCAGTAACCTGCTGGCAGTCACCTGCTGGCAGTCACCAGCTGGCAGTCACCAGCTGGCAGTCACCAGCTGGCAGTCACCTGCTGGCAGTCACCTGCTGGCAGTCACCTGCTGGCAGTCACCTGCTGGCAGTCACCTGCTGGCAGTCACCTGCTGGCAGTCACCAACCCAGGCAGTGATTTTGCTCCACCCTAACGACTACATGGATGGGGAGATTCTCAAAGCTTTAGATGCCGCCATGAGGTAAGCTCACACTCCGTGCTTTCCCTCCTTGCTTGCCCTCCCTGATCGCCCTCTTTCCCTCCCTGCTAGCCCTCTTTCCCTCCCTGCTAGCCCTCTTTCCCTCCCTGCTCGCCCTCTTGCCCTCCCTGCTAGCCCTCTTTCCCTCCCTGCTAGCCCTCCTTCCCTCCCTGCTAGCCCTCTTTCCCTCCCTGCTAGCCCTCTTTCCCTCCCTGCTAGCCCTCTTTTCCTCCCTGCTAGCCCTCCTTCCCTCCCTGCTAGCCCTCTTTCCCTCCCTGCTCGCCCTCTTGCCCTCCCTGCTCGCCCTCTTTCCCTCCCTGCTAGCCCTCTTTCCCTCCCTGCTAGCCCTCCTTCCCTCCCTGCTAGCCCTCTTTCCCTCCCTGCAAGCCCTCTTTCCCTCGCTGCTAGCCCTCTTTCCCTCCCTGCTAGCCCTCCTTCCCTCGCTGCTAGCCCTCTTTCCCTCGCTGCTAGCCCTCTTTCCCTCCCTGCTAGCCCTCTTTCCCTCCCTGCTAGCCCTCTTTCCCTCCCTGCTAGCCCTCTTTCCCTCCCTGCTCGCCCTCTTTCCCTCGCTGCTAGCCCTCTTTCCCTCCCTGCTAGCCCTCTTGCCCTCCCTGCTAGCCCTCCTTCCCTCCCTGCTAGCCCTCTTTCCCTCCCTGCTAGCCCCCCCTGCTTGCCTTCCCTGCTTGCCCTCCTTGCTTGCCCTCCCTAATTGGCCTCTCCTCCCTTCTTTCCCTCCCTTCTTTCCCTCCCTGCTCGCCCTCCCTGCTCGCCCTCCCTGCTCGCCCTCTTTCCCTCCCTGCTAGCCCTCTTTCCCTCCCTGCTAGCCCCCCCTGCTTGCTTTTCCTGCTTGCCCTCCTTGCTTGCCCTCCCTAATTGGCCTCTCCTCCCTTCTTTCCCTCCCTTCTTTCCCTCCCTGCTCGCCCTCCCTGCTCGCCCTCCCTGCTCGCCCTCCCTGTTTGCCTTCTCTGTTTGCCTTCTCTGTTTGCCTTCTCTGTTTGCCTTCTCTGCTTGCCTTCTCTGCTTGTCTTCCCTGCTTGCCGTCTCTGCTTGTCTTCCCTGCTTGCCTTCTCTGCTTGTCTTCCCTGCTTGCCTTCTCTGCTTGTCTTCCCTGCTTGCCTTCTCTGCTTGTCTTCCCTGCTTGCCTTCTCTGCTTGTCTTCCCTGCTTGCCTTCTCTGCTTGCCTTCTCTGCTTGTCTTCTCTGCTTGCCTTCTCTGCCTGCCTTCCCTGCTTGCCTTCCCTGTTTGCCCTCTGCAGCATGGTATGGTGGCATGTTGCACCACCCCAGTGCTCAACCCCAGTGCTCAACCCCAGTGCTCATCCCCAGTGCTCAACCCCAGTGCTCATCCCCAGTGCTCAACCCCAGAGCACAACTCCAGCGCAACCCCAGCGCAACCCCAGCGCAACCCCAAACCAACCCCAGCGCAACCCCAAACCAACCCCAGCGCAACCCCAACGCATCCCCAGCGCAACCCCAGCGCAACCCCAGCGTAACCCCAGTGCAACCCCAGTGCAACCCCAGCGCGCAACCCCGGTGAAACCAACCGCAGTGCAACCCTGGTGCTCAACCCAGCAAGACATCTTCCTGTGAACATCTCCGAGTTGCAGAATGTTTTTGGAAAGGTGCTGTTCAGCCAAGAGCCTCAATCTCATTCAGGATAAATCAGCCACAGCTACAGTACCACCTATGTAATCTGGATGATACATAAAACAGCTCATACATCAGTATGAAAAAGGTAGATCGATTTCTAGTGCATAACAAGCACACATCACCCTTATAAAACACTAGCACATCTGGCCACCATCCATCACCATAACCAACATCAGCAGGATAACTACCCACCACCAACATCAGCAAACACTGCACGTCGGAAGGGCATGAACTAGGCCGCAGCGGAGGCAAAGAGCTTGGCCACCTCACTCCACATGGCCCAGGGTTTGTCAATGAGGTCAACGGTGTAGTTGATGTGATGCTGGCTGGGCAGAAACTCAAACTCGCACGGAATCTCCGAATCCACATACCCATTAGCAAACGCCATGCCAACTGCCCCTTTCACCTTGAGAGGCAGCGACGCGTTTTGTGGCATTAAGGCAGCGAGCTTGGTGAGACCTGGTGCCATCGAATAGATGTTATGTTCGGTAAACCCGAGGCATGAGGAGCCCACATCAGGGGGCTGATTGGGCAAACCACCCACGGTTACCATGGGTACTTTGTGGCGTTTCCCCAGCACGTGCGTGAGGATGCCACAGGAGGAGAAGCAGTTTCCGTCCGACAGGACCAGGAAGGGGCGGTCGCCAAGCACCGGCTGCTGCTCCTTCCCAGTAAACTTCTTGTTTTGCTTCAACAGCGCCGAGTAGTTCCCCGCACGGCCGGCCTCTGTGAAGCGGAGCTCGCGGATAGGCGCGAAGTGAAGCGCGCTTGAGAGGTCGGTCCCATTGAGGTCGGCGTACACTCCTATGCAGTATTGCGTTGCCGGGTCGATGGAAAGAAGGCTGATGGCATTCTCAGTGTACTGCGTGCCGATGATGAAATCCAAGGGGAGGGTAAACTCAGAGTCGGGGACCTTTGCTGCCCCCATGAGGAGGCGGATGGCTGTGTATGCTGCTGTGGTGTAGCCGCCACCGTTGCCACGCACGTCTATTATGATCTGCGACGCGTTGGATCTGAATTGGTTCCATGTGATGATGGATGTGGGCACACATGCAGACATGCATGGGGTAACGCATGGGGGGGGAACATGGGGGAACACATGGGAGGATGTTTCGGGGAACGCATGGGAGATTCAAGGGAAGAGACATGGAAAGAGGCATGGGAAAGGGCAAGTAGCAAATGAGTGGGGAAGTGATGAGGATAAAAGGTCAGGTGAGTGATGAGTTGAGAACAGGGAACTAGCATGAGAGAAGGAGTGGGGAAGGTAGGAGTGGACAAGGAGTGGGGAAGGTAGGGGGGCTGGAGGGGTTAGTAGAGTGGAAGAAGGAGTGGAGAAGGTAGGGGGGAGGTGGAGAGGAGTACTAACGCTGCAACTGCTACGGCAGTACTTCCCCACCATCACCTCCTGCACCATGTACTTCCCCACTCCTTCTTCCATGTAAGTGGAGCCTTGGTGTAGTTGAAGGAAGGGGGGCGGGAGAGGTGTAATAGAGTAGAAGAATGGGGGGCAGGCAGGAGGGTAGTACTAACGCTGCAGCGGTTTGGAGAGCCTTGGCGACCTCCTGCACCATGTACTTCTCTGCGTTGACCTTCTTCTCCGCCAGCGCCTTTGACACCGCATCGCTGGGAAGGAACTGGTGAATCCAGACCACAGCCGTGTTGCCTCCCACCAGGTATACCTGCTCGCACACACATGGACACAAGCACACATGCACACATGCACACATGCACACATGCACACATGCACACATGCACACATGCACACATGCACACATGCACACATGCACATGCACACATGCACACATGCACACATGCACACATGCACACATGCACACATGCACACATGCACACATGCACACATGCACACATGCACACAGGCACACACGCACACATGCACACATGCACACATGCACACATGCACACAAGCACACATGCACACATGCACACATGCACACATGCACACATGCACACATGCACACATGCACACATGCACACATGCACACATGCACACATGCACACAAGCACACATGCACACATGCACACATGCACACATGCACACATGCACACATGCACACATGCACACATGCACACATGCACACATGCACACATGCACACATGCGCACATGCAAACATGCACACATGCACACATGCACATCGGAATGTCTGCATCTCCAGCGAGCATGCTTGCCTGCGCGCTGGTGCCGCCAGTGGCAGCAGCTGATGGCTTCGGTACGGCACAGGAACTCGCCCAGAACCCTGTGGCATTCGCAAAGGCAGCAAGCTTAGCTGTCCCGATCCATGGCACCTGTACGTCCTCCGTTGAAGATTTGTCCCTGGGAGGTGCAGAGAGTGCAGCACGGAGGTTAAGGTGGGAGGTGCAGAGAGTGCAGCACGGAGGTTAAGGTGGGAGGTGCAGAGAGTGCAGCACGGAGGTTAAGGTGGGAGGTGCAGAGAGTGCAGCACGGAGGTTAAAACCAGGGTCTCACGTAGATCAATTGTTTTGCAGTTGATGACTTGACCTTGGTTAGGATTGGATGGCGAGGTGTAAAGAATGACGAGGGGTGTGGCGAGGGGTGCGAAGGAAACACAAATCGCAGTTTGTGTCCGAACCAACCAGGCACGGAAATTGGTTCGGCGCCAAAGCTAGAACACCAGCAATTTGTGCGAGCATCCCGAAAGTCTCATGTACCAGGGAAATGTTTTGCAATTGCTTCAGAGGCAAAAACGTCAGGTGTCGCACAGTCAATTGCCAGACCAATCCCTAGACTTCGCCACCTCAAACAGGGTGATGACAATTTTCCTTACGTGAGACCCTGGTTTTAAGGTGGGAGGTGCAGAGAGTGCAGCACGGAGGTTAAGGTGGGAGGTGCAGAGAGCGCAGCACGGAGGTTAAGGTGGGAGGTGCAGAGAGTGCAGCACGGAGGTTAAGGTGGGAGGTGCAGAGAGTGCAGCACGGAGGTTAAGGTGGGAGGTGCAGAGAATGCAGCACGGAGGTTAAGCTGGAGGGCAGCTGAAGAGGAATACAAGTACGGTGAGACGGGCAAGCAAGAAGCAAGGAGTAAACGACACGCAAAGCAACAGCAAGAGACAGTCAAGCACCGAGTGCCAGTCACTGACGCGGTTGCTAAGGACACCAGTAGGGTGTCGTTTTCGGGAGCCAAGGATGTCCGCGCGAAGCTGCCTGGCACCTGGACGATGCTCGTCCCTTTCAGAGTCCCCTCCGCCTCATTCCTCGCAAAGGATTTCGTGAATCGCGCGGCGCGATTGCGAAAGGAGCCCACATTCTTGTCGGCCCAATTCAGGATGAAATCTTCCGCCTTCTCCCAATTAATACCCACCACCTGCAACGTCACACGAAGCATTCGAAAGGAATTTGCAGAGTGGGTGTGGTGTGTAGAGCTCGCTAGCAGGAGGCTTTCAAACGAACCAGTTGCCTGATTGGCTTAGACATTGACTTTGGTTACTCTGCAGCATACCTGTCGGCCCTCGTAAAGGTCAAATTCAAAACTGTGCAGAGTCTTCGCAACATGTCGCATACCCTTGGGAGTGACATCTGATGGGCAGAGGGCATCGATAAGAGGGGAAATTACTACGCTTCTGGAAACAAGAGTACCGAACCAGACCTTGACTTTCTAACATGGCAAAACAGTAAGGCAAAACAGTAAGGCAAAACAGTAAGGCAAAACAAAAGAGTGCCGAAAACTCACATCGGCGTGGCGCCAGGGTCGCTCTGTACGCCGCCATGTGCGCGTCCACCAGCCGCGCGTACTTCCCCTTCTCGCCGTTCGCGACGATTTTCCGCAGGTCCGCGACAATATCGATGCTGCTCGGCAGGTTCGTCTGGTCTGGCGAGTCAACGGCGATGTGCTTGTACACGTAGTGATTGTCAAACGCGTTCGCGATCGACTGAAGGTCCGCCCCGTCGCACTTCTTCCTGGCAGAAGGAGACCGGCCGTGGCATGGCAACAGTAGAACCGAAAATCAGGCCAACATATTCGAGCCCCAGCAAGCGTGGATAACAGAGAGCCAAAAAAAAAACAGACACAAGTCAACGGAGTACATGAACAGAAGCGGTACAGTGCGGTACCTGAACAGGAACGTGGAGTGGCACGCGCGGAAGAGAGAAGGAGCCGCGAATCCTGTCCCTCCAGTCTTGTTCCCCAATTCTCCCGCACTGCGCGTCAGCTCCGCCGCCAGCTTAGCACACGGGTCAGGCGCGGCTCTGGACGCAACGAAAGGGTCCAGAGGCGCGTCATCGCACGTCTCCGCAGGAGCAGGCGCCGGCGCCGGCGCCGCCGGTGCGGGCGCCGCCGGGGCTGGCGCCGCGGCAGCCCCCGCCGCCGCTCCGTCGGACTCCGCGGCGTAGAGCGCGGCGGAGGGTTTCGTTTCCCCTGCGGGGGCGACGGGGAAGAGGGCGTCGTTCCAGAACCAGCGGCGGGCGGATGCGGGGGGTGCCGGGAGCAGCAATGCGAGGAGGAGCACGGGGAGAAGCCCCGCCGTGGAGAGCTTCAAGTTGCCGCTGCGCCCTTGGGTGACGGCCCGCCGCGAGGTGGCCATTTGCGACGGAGATGCTGCGCGGAAGGGGACTGGGTCGCGGCACGGTGTGGTGAACCGAGACTAATACTAGCGGTAGCAAACGCCGCAATCTTGCTGCTCACTGATTTAGAAAGGAACTGCGATAATGGGTGAGTAAAAATACTTCTTGCGAAAGCACGACGGGCGAGTTTGGAACTACGAAGCGAGTCGAGGCGATGACTCGTGATGCTGCGAGTCGAGGCGATGACTCGTGATGCTGCAAGTCGAGGCGATGACTCGTGATGCTGCGAGTCGAGGCGATGACTCGTGATGCTGCGAGTCGAGGCGATGACTCGTGATGCTGCGAGTCGAGGCGATGACTCGTGATGCTGCGAGTCGAGGCGATGACTCGTGATGCTGCGAGTCGAGGCGATGACTCGTGATGCTGCGAGTCGAGGCGATGACTCGTGATGCTGCGAGTCGAGGCGATGACTCGTGATGCTGCGAGTCGAGGCGATGACTCGTGATGCTGCGAGTCGAGGCGATGACTCGTGATGCTGCGAGTCGAGGCGATGACTCGTGATGCTGCGAGTCGAGGCGATGACTCGTGATGCTGCGAGTCGAGGCGATGACTCGTGATGCTGTGAGTCATCCGATGATGACGATGATGACCCCCGGCGCTCGGTGGCTCCGCTAGGTTGTGTGGATATCTGGTTGCCCGACTCGGGCTGACGGCCGCGTGACCGCATTTTTCCAGCAGAAAAAACTTCGTAGCCCCAACATCGCAGCTTTTCTTTACCTTACTACTACAGATTCGACTCTGGAAGGCAAATCCACGCCAGTGACAAGAAGTGGCGCGGCGACGAGACATAAAGACGGCGGAGGGACTTGGCTTTGCGTGATACATCTGTTCTAGGTCATGCCATGATAGTAAGTGCACATCATAAACTAATCGGACCATGACTTCTTGATGCTCCTCGCCTCATTCTGTGTCTAGGTCATGCCTGGCAGTTGTCTGCTTGTAACTTGTGTAGCGCAGATGATGGTTTTGGTCTGACAGGTTTCGGGTTTGACGAAACCATTTCGCCTGTTCGAACAATAATCGAGAGGAGGTTGGTTCGCGAAATCCCGAAACCGGAAACCACACAGGCCGATTTCGTTACTTTTGGCCCTCCCCCTCTGTTCTACTGTTCCTGTAATCCCTGAACTGAACTACAGATGGTAGTTCTATCTATTCAGATGGTAGTTCCATCTGCTGTCATCTCCTCACCACAGCCATTCAAACTGGTCAAGCGCGGAGCGACTCGCCCGCGCCGTTGTAGCTACGTTGCTTCTCGCCGCTCTGCGCCGCGCTGAGCTATTATCCTAGCGCGGAGGCAATCCTAGTTTGTCGCGCGGAATGAGGTTTTCCATTTCGCTGGAGTTCTCACAACCGGTTTACCGTGCGCCGCACTGAACATGACGTGCTCCTGAGGCATCCCCAAAACGATTGCTACAGACCGTTTAAAAGTCGGACTTCCTCGAGGCGCGTCAAAAACCTTGCCAGGATGATCTTCACCCGCTTCAGATTGTTCGGAGCGACGTCGCCACTATGAGGCGCCGTCGGAAGGGAGATGCGGGGGAGGCATTATCATCGCAGCGGCGTCACACCAGAGCCGCACAGCTTGCGCGGACGGGGCGAAGAGGAATACGTGGGGGAAAAGGACGGGAACGATGCGCACAGAGCCCCCCGCTACGACCTCACCTTGCTCAACACGCCCACCTTCAGCCCAGGTGAAGGAACCAGAGGTTAAGGAGCCATGGCGTGCTTACTACTAACACTCAGGAAACTGTGAGGTAACGTCTCAGAGGTAGCCTCCCCCGCCTTTCGTTCCACACGTCGTGTGACACCACCCTTTCGTTGCAAACGTCGTGTGACGCCGCCCTTTCATTGCACACGTCGGTCGTTCTTCCTGCCGAGGCGTCCTTCCCGCGCGAACTGCTAATCATGGCTCCCCGCATCGCCACAGCGTCACGGTGGACGGCGGCCACCGGCGCCGCCGCAGCTCAGCCCGTCGCGACGCCGAGCCGCCTCGTATCCCTCGTGGCTTTCGTCGCGCTCCTGCTCCTCGCAACCGCCGCTCTGCCGGCCGCGGCGCTCGCTGATTCGTCCGAAATGGGGGTAGCAGCGAGCCGTCGGGTTCTGCAAGCCGCGCCCGCAGCAGCACCCGCGGCCGGCTCCGGCGAGGGCGACGCAGAAGCACCCGCGGCCGCGGGGGCCGGGGCAGGGGGCGGAGCGGGGGCCGGAGCACCCTCGGTCGGCGCACCACCGGCGCCGTCGCCCAACGCGCCAAGCGATCAGTACAATGACGACGACTACATGCAGGACTACACCCTGGAGCAGGTGCTCGCAGCCGCGGCGCCTCCGGCGGCGCCCGGCGCTCCACCTTCCCCGCCGCCATCCCTGCGGATGAAGGTTCCGATGGCGATCAAGTTCGACGACGTGTCCAAGTCGTTCTTCATTCTCGGCTACCTCGCGAACTCCGTGTGCAAGTTCCCGGAAGGGAAGTCGATCTTTCTTCCCACGAACCGCGCGTGGAGCGACGCGTTTGAGGGGTACAAGAAGAGCCGGGGCAGCGGTGCGCTTTACGAGGCTCTCGACGCGGTCGCGAGCGATCGGATCAAGAAGGCGGTGGTTTTCGCGGGAAGGAAGACGAACAGCAAGGAGCTGTCGGCGCTGGCTGACAAGGCCAAGTCGTGCAAAACGCTCACGTCGCATCCCATGAGCGAGGCCGCGAGGACCGCGCTCTTCAACCTCATGTCGTTCCACACGGCGGTTTCTAGGGTTACGATCTTGGACCTGGATAGCAAGGTACGCTTGCGGAATGTCCTCCCCCTCCCTCCCCACCCCCCTTCTTCCCCCCCTCCCCAAACCCCTCCCTCCTCTATTTGACGGTGTGTGCTTTCGAGTGTATAATCGCTGTTGTTTAACAGGTGTTTGCCACTTCTGTAGTTACACTCTGTTACCACAACAAGCATTTTTTGCTTCGCTCAATTCCCTTCACTCTCTCTCCCCCCGCTCCCTGAAACATAAATATGGGCAGTGCAACGACGCTGGAACGTCCTTCCAGACCGCGTTCAGCAACAACAAATTGAACTTCAAGTGTAACAGCACCAGCAGTGGGCTTGTTTCTGGCTCGGACCCCCTCGCATCTGGCGCGGCTGCTGGTACTTCGTCTGCTGTGGCAATGATCGACGAGCCGCAGAAGGATTATTTCTATGTCAGCACGGTTGTGTTCCCCAGCAACATCGCCTCCCTACCTGGTACGCGTTTTAATATCTTGCAAGCCGGAGTTGGGATTCAAATTTCTCACAGCATGGAAATATATAGCGTGTTTTTACCTTTTCACCTTGCTTTCGTTCTCCAATCCAATGCATAAAATTTCGTATCATCATGGTTCAGAGTACTACACAATGCACCTTCAACATTGAGCGCCATGCACCCCCCTGGCCACCTTTCCATTACTCGTTCATCTCCCTACTCCCATTTCTCCTCACCATATCTCTTGCTTTCTCCTGCTTACTCCTATTCCTCCTCCCTCACTCCCATTTCTCCAACCCCGCACTCCCATTCCCGCTCCCCACAATCTTGGATTCCAGGTGGCGTTGTCACGGTCTCGCGTCTCTTCTCTGCGCTGCTGGTCCTGGGCGCGGCTCTTGCCTGCGCCCTCTAGATCCCATGGGGTTAGACAGCCCCCCCTCGCTCTACTGCCTAGGAGTGCATGCGATGGGAGGAAGAAGCACTTGGGATTTCAGATTCATCGTGCCGCTCATCTTGAAGGCATTTGCCACTGTTTTGCATGTCTTCTGGAACAATTGAAAGGGTGTGCATGCATATTCTATCACTTTTTTGTGAAATCTGAACCCAGAGTTTCATGCAAACGAGCACGAGTAGGTACCTTATGTTACGGTTTGTTGAAGGGTTACGGTTTGTTGAAGGGCTATACAAAAAATAGCTCCTGGTACATATGGTACTGTAATTGTCATGCAGATGGGGGTGGGCTGTCATGCTTATGAGCTGTATTTTCTGTATCATTCAGATTGAGCTGGTACCTCTGGCTGATTTCTCAAACACATAAAGGAGATATTAAAGAGATGTTCCCCGCCCCGTCATTATCTGAAACCCAATTACCAAATTACTTACTGTGTTGAAATGCAGGGTACATAAATTGGAAAAAGAAATATCTATATAACTTTTTGCATACACGCTCACCGCATCGCACCTAGGGATTGTCACCAGCCAGCGAATTTTGTCCTGCTGCTTGCTCATCTGGCTTTGGAATGGGAATGGTTCACCCAGACCTCCCCTTCTCTCCCTTTTTCCCGTGCGTCTTGCTTTTTCCTCTCCCCTCTTTTCTCCTCCCCTCTGCCTCCTCCGCCTCCTTCCCCCCTTCTGCCGCCTACATCCGTTCTTCCTCGTTCCGGGCGCATTCTGAGAGCGTGAATCGCTGTGCCCTAATAGCGTTCATTTATTAACTAGGTCTAGCCACTGCCCGTCTAGCTGATATAGGGTTTCGTTATTAGCGGTTCTCGTTATAAGGGAGCCCGATGGGGGCGAACGTGAGTCACGCGGCGGCAGCGCCATCCGCACCTCCGCCTCCGCCAATTGCACCCGCGGGAGTTCCTCTGCCCCCCGCGGGCCCGGTTGGCTTGCAACAGGTCGTTCCGCCGGCCGATGCGGCGGGAAACGCGGAGAAGCCTCCGGAGAAAGTGGACTATCTGAATCTGCCGTGCCCGGTGAAATATGAGGAGATCCAACGAGAAGCACTTAGTAAGCACTCCTTAACGAGGATGAATAGAGCGATTGACGTTGTATTTTGACACGGATATTGCCAATCGGTCCGGATCAGTTCAGATCAGATCACGTCCAATAAGTGCATGCCGAATCGATCGTGGCCATTCTGACACCTGCTGCCAGCTGCCATCCGACAGCGATCGATAAGCCCTGATGACCCGAGTCCCACGTGGCATTTCTCCTCTATACTCGCCTGATGATCGTCGATCCTGGTCTATCACTCTGGTCAAGTAGGTTGCCGATCCGTGCCGTGCGTCACTGGAGATTTATAGACCTTCATTAAACGGAGCGCGCTATCGAATATTCGCGTTTTTGGATTATCGTGGATCTGCCGCATTGATGGATGCGGGCTAACGGGGTTGAAGCGAGGGTTTCAGGATAAGGGCTAATGGCCAGTTGGAGGGCTCACGTGCTCATCCGCGCTTAGAACGCGTGATCAGGCTACTAACGCGTTACGTCTCTGGAGATGTCTCAGAAAAAAAGCCGGACGTGCTCATCCGCGCTTAGAGTGCGTGATCAGGCTACTAACGCGTTATGCCTGGAACGATGAACTCAATTCCACCCTTTCTCCATCCGTGACCATTTTCGGCCTCCGTTTCTTCTCAGCTCAGTCGTTCCATTCCAGCCCTTCTTCTCTGCTCCACTGCATCTCACACGCCCTTTCTCCGCCTCGTCGCCTTCCGTTCTTCTCCGCCATTCCCTCCCTCTCATAGTGTATTACGTCCCCCCCCTCTCCCCCCTCCCCCCCCCCCCACATTCCCCCCTTCTTCAAATAAATAAATAAATAAACTCCCCCCCTCTTCTCTCCAGTTCTCCCCTCGCCTCTCTCTACTACTCCCCTCTCATTTGCACTGCTCCCCGCCCCACTCATCCCCACTCATCCCTGCTTGCCGCACTTCCCCGTGCCCCTCTCCACTCCACCCCCCTTTTTCTCCCCACTCCCCCCTTGCTTCCCCCGTTTCTCCCCCGCTGGTACTCATGGGACCCCTTCACTTCCCCCACTCTCATTCTCCTTTAACCTCTCCTCCCCTTTTCCCCCCCTTTTCCCCTTGTCCCCCTTCCCCTTCCCCTCGTGCACTCTCCTCGTCCCCTTGCCGCCCCCCCTCCCTCCCTTCCTCCCCCCTCGCTCCTCCCTACCGCCCGTCCCCGTGCATCGTCGCGCGCAGTGTCGTTAAAGCCCGACCTCTTCGAGGGCCTTCGCTTCGACTTCAATAAGCCACTCAACCAGTCCTTCTCGCTCTCGCACAGGTGATTGTTAGATAGCCCCCAGTCGCTCCCGCACGTGTTTTAGCCCCTTCCCTTTCGCGCGTGCGCGCAGCACAAGTGCATGCTTCCAATTTCTTCGCCTCCTGACTTTTGAGTCGACTCACAAGTGCATGCCTCCAATTCCTTAGTCTCCAAGAGCAACCACTTGATCGTTCCGCTCGTCGCTCATTGGCCCCTTACCCTGTCTGTCTTCCCCCCTTTTCTCCTGCCTTGCTTTCCCTTCTCTCTGAGTCCCTCTAGCGACCTGTGTCTCATTTTCGCATTGTACCTTCTCTTTTACTTCCTCCCTACCTCCCTTCGTCCCCTTCCTCTCCGCCTCCCTCCCTCCCTCCCTCCCTCCCTCCCTCCCTCTCCCTCTCCCCCCTCTCCCCCTCCTCCTCGCTATTCGCGCTCACAGTTTGCAAATGGCAGAACGTAGCACTGCCGTTCGAATCACCTCTGAGTCCATTTCACCGCCTCTTTTTTTCCTCTCTCCCCTCCTCTACCCCCTTTCACGCACCTCCCCACCTTCAGTGTGCTGAAGGGCAGCTCCAGTCGCCGGGTCACTCTGAACCCCCCCCCTCCCCCTTCCCCCCCGATCTCTCGCCCGCCTCTCCCCTCCCCCCCTTCCTCCGCACCTTTACCCCCCCCCCCCCCCCTCCCTTTCGCTCTCCCCCCTCTCCCCTCCCCCCCTCCGTAGTGTGCTGATGGGTGGTGCCGAGGCGCCGTCTCAGTCCCACTGTCACCTCCGCGATTGTATCTTAATCAACACCTTTCCCCCTTTCCCGCATTTTTTCCCATCTCCCCCCTCTTTTTCCCTCCCTCACACACACACCCGACTCATGCAGTGTGCTGATGGGGAGTGCGGAGGTGCCGTCTCAGTCGCCCACTCACCTCTCTAACCCCCCTCCTTCTCTCCCTCCCTCCCTCCCTCCCCTTACGCGCACTTGACTCCCGCAGTGTGCTGATGGGCAGTGCCGAGGTGCCGTCGCAGTCGGGGGGCATTCTGAAGGTGCCGCACTCGTCGTACGAGTTTGGGGCGAATGTGCTGGACGCTAAGGTCAGTGGGATGTGAGAGAGCAAGGTAAGGTGGTGCATTCTGAATGTGTGGGGTAAAGCGGGGCATTCTGAAGGTGCCGCACTCGTCGTACGAGTTTGGGGCGAATGTGCTGGACGCTAAGGCGAGTGGGGCTTGAGAGTGAAGTTGGGGGGGAGGTGGACTAGAAAGTATTATTCCTCTGATTCTGATCCTCCTCCTCCTCCTCCTCCTCCTCCTCCTCCTCCTCCTCCTCCTCCTCCTCCTCCTCCTCCTCCTCCTCCTCCTCCTCCTCCCCTCCCCCTCCCGCTCCTCTCTCCTGCTTGCTATACCGCACCACAACTGGAAACTTGAATTGCCTTTCCGTCCTTCATCGAATCGTCATGAGTCAAATTTGAAGATAACACCACATTCCAAATCTAAAGAGACTAACACATTCCATTCTCCCTTGCATGCATGCCCTTTTCTGGAACCTTTGCTCATCGCCTCCATCCCCCCTCCTCCCCTTCATTCCCTGCACCCTCAGCCGTCCGCGAGCATAAGATGCTGAATGGGCGGATGGCAGGCAGGCAGCAGTCCGAGCGTGCAAGAAGAGAACTTTTGAGACGTCTCAAAAGGCAGGCAGCAGGCCGAGCGTGCCAGTGAGCGACCAGGTTGCACCTTGCTTGCCCGTCTTCCTTTTCCTGACTCTTTCTCCGTCGCCTCTCCCTCCCCTTCCCTCTTCCCCTCCCCGGTGCCACGTCACTGCCGCAAGCAGAAGATGCTGATAGGGCGGATGGCGGACGGGAGGTTGAGTGCGCGGGTGAGCTACCAGGTGACGGACAGCGTGGCGTTGAAGGTGAACGCTCAGATCGTCAACGAGCCGCACTTCTCACAGGGCATGTTCCAGCTCGACTACAAGGTGCGTGTGCGTGTGTGAGAGAGTGTATGTGTGCGTGTGTGAGTGTGGGTGGGTTTATGAGAGGGAGAGATTGGGAAACAGCTTAGTTGAGTGCGCGCAGATCGTGAACGAGCCTCACTTCTCGCAGGGCATGTTCCAGCTCGACTACAAGGTGCACGCATTTATTCCTGTCAGAGAGTGTGTTGTGTGTGTGTGCGTGCGTGTGTGTGTGTGTGTGTGTGTGTGTGCGCGCGCGCGTGCGTGCGTGTGTGTGTGTGTGTGCGTGCGTGCGTGCGTGTGTGTGTGTGTGTGTGTGTGTGTGTGTTTGTGTGTGTGTTTGTGTGTGAACCAAGCGAGGTGTCAACACTTAACGGCATTCCTCAATGTGCTTCCCCGACCTCCACCACTGCAGGGGTCGGACTACCAGTGGCAGGCACAGGCGGGCAACAACGCTTTCTACGGAGTGAACTACATTCAAAGCGTCACACCCACGCTCTGCCTGGGAGGAGAGGCCTTCTGGCTGGGCCACCAGCGACGCTCTGGCCTGGGCATTGCAGGGCGCTACAACACCGATAAAGTGGTGAGCTGCTCCTGCTGGTGCGTGCCGTAAGGCATTTGCAGCAGAGCATGTGCAGCAGAGCATGTGCAGCAGAGCATGTGCAGCAGAGCATGTGCTCCTCCTCTTCTTTCTCCTGGACAAATCATGCCCATCCCACATCGCTCCAATCCTGCCATCCCGCATCGCTCCAATCCATGCCATCCCGCATCGCTCCAATCCATGCCATCCCACTCATTTCAGGTGGCGACAGCACAGGTGGCGAGCACAGGAGTGGTTTCCATGACCTATGTGCAACGCGTGCTCCAAATCATGTGCCATCCCATATCCATCTCACTTCCTCCAGGTCGCGACAGCACAGGTGGCGAGCACAGGAGTGGTTTCCATGACCTATGTGCAACGCGTGTCAGATAAGGTATGCGTTGGATATGGTATGAGGCTGATAAGGCATGAGTCAGATAAGTTGTGTGACTTCGGTAAGCATTGAGCCGACTGGAAAGCCACCTCATTGTGGTGTCCATTAGTATGCTCCGTGTTTGAAGAAGTGTTTTGAGACGTCTCATAAGTTGTGTTCTCTTTGAGACGTCTCATAAGTTGTGTTCTCTTTGAGACGTCTCATAAGTTGTGTTCTCTCTGAGACGTCTCATAAGTTGTGTTCTCTTTGAGACGTCTCATAAGTTGTGTTCTCTTTGAGACGTCTCATAAGTTGTGTTCTCTTTGAGACGTCTCATAAGTTGTGTTCTCTTTGAGACATCTCATAAGTTGTGTTCTCTTTGAGACGTCTCATAAGTTGTGTTCTCTTTGAGACGTCTCATAAGTTGTGTTCTCTTTGAGACGTCTCATAAGTTGTGTTCTCTTTGAGACGTCTCATAAGTTGTGTTCTCTTTGAGACGTCTCATAAGTTGTGTTCTCTTTGAGACGTCTCAAACACTTCTTCAAACACGTGACTGGAAAGCCACCTCATTGTGGTGTCCATTAATCTGCTCTGCTCTGCACCTCACGTGTCCCTCCCTTCATCCATACCTACCTTCTCATCCGTCCCATCTCTTCACCCATCCCTATCCATCCACCCTCTTTGCCCTTCTCCCCTCATTGCCCGTTCCAATCCTCACCAGGTGGCCCTAGCAGCCGACTTTTTGCACAACTGGAACAGCAAAGAATCGGCCACAAGTGTGGGATATGATTATATCCTGCGCCAGGTGTGTACAGGGAGCTATGGGATACGATTTTATCTTGCGACGGGCTTTTGTTTGTGTCTGTAATGAGTGGTTAGTGTAGAGGGATGCATGTGCGTACTGCATTGTGCCCCAGGTATGGGTGTGTGTGTGTGCCTGTAATGAGTGGCGAATGAGATTATACAGGGACGTGCATGGCAAGGCAACTGCATTGTGATGCAGGTGTGTGTGGCTGTAGCAAGAGGTGACTGTAATGGGTATCAGTCACTATCACCAAGATGACAGGAACAAGATGGCTGAGATAAGATGACTGTAATGAAGGTGCCTGTGATGGGGGCAGTTAGGTAGGAATAAGGCTTTGGGGGGGTGAGTATAAGGCTTTCCCTTCCCCTTTAGACCCACCTGATTTCCTTGTGTGTGTTCTTGCCAACACTCCCGTTCCCGCACTTCATTCCCCATTCGCACTCCACCATTCACTGCACTCTCATTCGTCCCTCACTCTTGCACCTGGCTCTCTTTCGTTCCTCACCCCCCGCTTCCCCACTCTCCACCCCACTCTTTGTGACCTCTACTCTGATGTGATTGGTTGAGTAACTGCCTCTGCAGCATTCACAATTCATCCAACCCACCCCTGTCCTCTCACAATAATTCCCGATTTCCGCTGGCCCTGCAATCCCCTCTTTCTCCTGCGTCCCTTCCCCTTGTATTTTCACCAACCACTGTTTTCTGGGGGGCTGCTAGACACCAATGGCTGTGTGGCACTTTGTGTGGCATAGAATCGTTCCCACTCCTCCCCCCCTTATGATTTTCCTTCGATTTTCGCATTCTTCCCCTCTCCCCACCTTGTGTTTCCACCAATCAGTGTCGGCTGCGGGGGCGGCTGGACACCAATGGCTGTGTAGCGGCCTATTTGGAAGAAAGGCTCAATCTTGGTGTTAATCTCCTTTTCTCTGCAGAGGTATTTTAATATTGAGAGTTGATGTCTGATGGTTCTGTTTGTATGCATTGCTGCTTCTATTTCGGCTCGCATGTCTTCCCATGCCCTTTCATTCTTAACATTCCTAATCCGGTCTTTGTTACCCAGGTGCTAACCTTTTCGTGTTGCACTTTCAGGTGGATCACTGGAAAAAGGACTACAAATTCGGATTCGGCATGTCTGTTGGGGAGTAGCTGATCTTGGTGATCTTGCCATGAACTAAACCTCTGCAATTTCAAGGTTGCAGATTAGATGAATGTCTTGTGGATGGTTACCAAGAGTTATCATGTAGGTTTTTTTCTTGCTAGGCCTAACGCTCAGTACTCTATACAAAGAATGTTAGTTCTTCCAAGTCTATTCGATTTTTTTTATGAGCATATTTTGGAGATATTGTTCCCAAGCTGTACCAACTTTGAGAATCGAATTCGGTATGTTTCCATCGTGAACTCCAAAAGCTGACTATATCGGCTTCCTTTGCACGCGTTGCGCTCGAGTTGTAACCCTCTGTGACGAGACCACGGAACTTTCGCAACAGTCGTGTAAAATATTCCCAGGGAGCTCATTCTGGGGAGTGCCATTCAGATATCACTCACATTTCTTCACTGGGAGGTCCGCGAAAATATTATATTTCGTTTGTAACTCTTTCCGAAAGGGCTGAACAAGGAGACTACCTTGAAGAGCGCGGCTCGTTCAGCATCGGAGCGCGTGAGTGAAAAGTGGGCTCGAAACATGCTGCCAGCAATAATCTCCTAACACCAGCTCGCAAACACCAATAATCGTGGAATGTGAGAGCAAAACACTACAACATAGCAGCAGCGGTTCTGTTGTGGAGGTACAAAGGCGTGAGCAAATCTGATTCACTCGCCATTTCACGTTCAGTCAGGAACAAACACCAGAAGCTCCTCCTGCCTGGTAGAATGTCCCTTGTTGCCCACGCCATGGATCCAAATGCATGTCTCGCGCGGGTGGTAGGCATGCTAGCTGTCATTCTGTCCTTGATTCATTTCCAATCTGCCTTTGCCCTTCGAGTGCTAAGCAATCCCGCAGCAGCCCATACCAGTGCTGATAGTAGCGAAGCTTCTCTAGCGGGAGCTTCAGCTGCTACTGCCTCTAAATCGAATAGAGGTCCAGAGGCAGCGAGCGTGATGCAGAGCGGTGCAGCGGACCCGTGCACGCTGTGGAGTGAGGAAATCGCCAAGAATGCAGCGAGCTGGGACGTTGCGAAGCCCTCTACAGTTCGCGAATGCTTGCGAAATTTTAAAATCAGGTATGCGCGCACCTAGTAAACGAGAGGCTGATATAAATACTTACATTGATCAATCAATGGCACTGACCTTCTGGAAAACAAGCCAGCTCCATTTGAACAAGCTTTTCTGTTTCCGCTAATTCCATTTCTCGACTTCGAGCAGGGAGAGTGACGTGGAAGATCTTCGGTCGGTGGTCAACGGAGTCAACAATCACTACGTGTACAAGGACATCGCCGTTGACTCGCCCGACCAGACGAACCTTCCCAGCAACGTCGACATCGTCGCAGAGCTAACGGCCATTCTGCAGCGCGCCGAGCAGGGCGAATACGAACGGCTGATGGACGCCCACGTGGACACGTTCAACGCGCTCAACGGCCTGAACGACGGCCACACCATGTTCTCGTCCAACTGCTTCTTCGGCACGGCCAGCTTCTTCCTGCCTCTCCCGCTTTTCGCGGTCGTGGAGGACGGTCAGCAGATCGTTCGCGTCGCCACGCGCCGATGTGAGTCTGCCGCGCCGCTTCTGAGAGAAGTTCTCTCACAACGCATAACACGCACGGCGCACACACGAGCTCGTTTTCCCAACTCAAAGAACTGTGCTTCGTTTGTATTACGCTTCGTTAATGTGTATAAGTAATGGTCTCCGTGGCCGCGTTTCACTGTGCTGGCATCCCGTTCAGACCTGGCGTGGTTCGACGGAATCGAGGAGGACGCGAAGAACATATGGGGCTTCGATTTCTCCGCCTACGAGTTACAGCAGGTACACTAGAGTAACCAAACACCTGCATTGAATCGGAGACCATTCCTGTTTGCCTCTCCATCACTCTCAGCTACTCTCTCGCTACATCAATTGCCCTCTCTCTCGCCCTCCCACTTTCCTTCCCACAGGTGCTCACAATCGAGGGCCAGCCGGCAGTGGAGTATATAAAGCAGTGGGCGGATAAGCACGGCGGCATGGTGCGCAACCCCAGTGCGCGCTTCAACATGATGTTCGCGGGGCTCGACCCACAGGGAAGAGCCAGCTTGTTTCAGCACCCGGGGGAGTTCGCTCTCAGGGAGCTGGTGCCAGAGAGCGACTCGCTGCAGGTGTCCATTCTCAAAGGGTGAGTGAGAGCCTTCCGTACTGCGGGCGCGTCAATTGAAGCCCTGAATCCCTGCGGGCTCGACCCAGAGCGGAGAGCCAGCTTGAGCCAGCACGCGAGGGAGTTTGTTGTGAGGGAGCTGGTTCCAGAGAGCGACTCGCTGCAGGTGTCCATTCTCAGAGGGTGAGTGTCTCGAGTCCCGAGCTCCCATTCTCAGAGGGTGAGTGTCTCGAGTCCCGAGCTCCCATTCTCAGAGGGTGAGTGTCTCGAGTCCCGAGCTCCCATTCTCAGAGGGTGAGTGTCTCGAGTCCCGAGCTCCCATTCTCAGAGGGTGAGTGTCTCGAGTCCCGAGCTCCCATTCTCAGAGGGTGAGTGTCTCGAGTCCCGAGCTCCCATTCTCAGAGGGTGAGTGTCTCGAGTCCCGAGCTCCCATTCTCAGAGGGTGAGTGGATGGCTGTCACGAGCTCAGAAGCTTTCATCGACTCCCACCCCTACTGGGCCCTCAACTGCGTTGCTTTGCTTTGTTTTGTTTTGTTTTGTCTGGGCTGTACCCTGGTTGGGAGCAACAGGGGAGCAGCAGAGAACGTGAGTGTGCCGTGGATAGCTGTTTCAAGCTCAGAGGCTTTCACCGACTCCCTTCCTACTGGACCCTCAACTGCATTGCTCTCTTTTCTTTTGTCTCTGCTGTTACATCTGGTTGGGTGGGAGCAACAGGGGGGCAGCGGAGAACGTGAGTGTGCCATGGATAGCTGTTTCAAGCTCAGAGGCTTTCACCGACTCCCTTCCTACTGGACCCTCAACTGCATTGCTCTCTTTTCTTTTGTCTCTGCTGTTACATCTGGTTGGGTGGGAGCAACAGGGGGGCAGCAGAGAACGTGAGTGTGCCATGGATAGCTGTTTCAAGCTCGGAGGCTTTCACCGACTCCCACTCCTACTGGACCCTCAACTGCGCCAAGCACCAAGAGCCCTGTGCTGACGACGCTGCTGCTGGCAACGCCGCAAGCACCACCAGCAGTAGCAGCAGTAGCAGTAGCAACGAAGAGAGGGATTTGCGGAAACCGCCTCCTGTGTTCAAGCGTGATGTGCTGAGGAGACGACCCCAGTATCAAAAACGCCAGCAGCCCCACAGGCGGCAGCAGCAGCCGCAGCAGCAGCCGCAAGAGAGGCAAGAACAGAAGGAGCAGAGCAACGACGCGGTTACACCCAGGATACTGGCCGACGCGGACGGGGCAGCGATTACAGTGGAGAGAGTGTCTGCTGAAGATGCCTATTACCTGGTATGTGGTTGTGACTGTATGCGGATGCGACTGTATGCGGGTGTGACTGTATGCGGGTGTGACTGTATGCGGGTGTGACTGTACTGCATGCTGGTGTTGACACCTTTCCCCTGAACGCAAACATGCACCTCAATCAAACTCCCAGATTTCCCCTCCGCATCCCTCCTCTCTCCCCTGTCCAACCCCTTTCAACCGCACTGCATCCCTCGCAGGTGTATCTATTGTATCTCCCCGGCAGTGATAGTGCTGCACATATTCGACGCGGACAGCACCACGGCGAGTAAGCTGACCGCCACCAACCCTGCCTTGCAACCCTCTACAACCCTTTCCACCCCTCCGCGCCCTCATGCACCCCTCTTCCCCTCGCAGGTGTATCTGGTGAGCAACCGCACGGCAGTGATAGTGCTGCACACGTTCGACGTGGACAGCACCACGGCTGAGGAGCTCGCAGTCACCAGCCCGGACGTGCACCCCGTTGACTACCTCGCTGAAGAGATTCTCAAAGCCATGGACGCTGCCAGGAGGTACGCTTGCCCTTTTTCTCTCCCTGCTCGCCCTCCCTGCTCGCCTTCTTTGCTCCTCCTCTACAGCGCAGCCACCAGCCCGGACGTGCACCCCGTTGACTACCTCGCCGGGGAGATTCTCAGAGACATGGACGCCGCCAGGAGGTACGCTAGGGCTCCCTGCTCGCCCTCCCTGCTTGCCCTCCGCTCTTGCCCACCAATTTTCCCCTCCCAAAAACCTTGTTCTCTCGAAGGATTTTAGAATCTCCTCCCCCAACTTCCCCCAAAACGTCCCCCCCCCCGCCCCCCGCGCCTCCTCCCCCCGCGCGCAGCACCAACTGCGCGGAGGTCATATTCGACGTGCGCGTGAACGGCGGCGGGTTTACCGCGCTGGGCTCAGTCACAGTCGTCACCCTTCTCGGCACGCGCAACGTGCCTCTAGCGGACGCAACCCTACCCATGGACTTCATTATAGGCACAAACTTCACGTGGAGCCTCATGGAGGATCAGGCCATTCCAGACTACGCAACGGACGGCTATACGCATCCCGGCGACGGCGCGTCGGTGCTCTCGTCTTCGCAAGACTACACTCCTCTGCAGAACATCTCGTTTACAGAGGCCGGTCGCGCCGGCACCTATACCGCGGATTTTAAGTCGTATTTCGAGAATTTCTACGGCGGATTGGCGGAGCGCGCGGGATCCGCGGAGCCGTTTTTCGGCGCGCGGCCGTTTCTGTTTCTGGCGGACGGCGACTGCTTTTCCACGTGCGCCATCCTCACGCACATGCTGGGTAAACGCTACAAAGTACCCATGGTAACCGTGGGTGGTTACCTCGATCAGCCCGTGTCCGTGAGCGCGTCGTGCCTGGGCTACACCATGCTCTCGTTAAACTGCGCCGTCTCGGTTCCGCTAAGCCGCACGAGCCACGCCAACGACCCGCGCGCGTCGAAACCGTTTAAGACGAACATGGATGTTTCCATGGCGTTTACTAACGGGTATGTGGACTCGAGCGTTCCGTGCGAGTTCGAATTTCTGCCCAGTCAGCGCCACGTGGACTACACCGTAGATCGCATCGACAAGCCCGAGGTCATCTGGAGCGACGTCGCGAAACTCTTCCAGGAATTGCCGCTGCCACCGGTGATCGCTCAGTCGCAGGCTGCAGCGTAACTCTTCCGAAACTGCACCGTCAGTCACACTAGCGGCTTGGCGAATAATGGGGAGTTGCCAACCCAATCATCCTAGCATTACCTAGCGAATAAGCAACTCCCCGTGTTTGACGCGTTGAACGCTTCGTTATTGTTACGGGTGCAATGAATCTAAGTAGCGAGAATTGCACTAAGGTGTCAAACGAGCACAAAGATGTGAGCGAAGGCATGAGCGAACATTTATATGCGAAGCATGCAAACGGTAACGCGGTGCGTGCGAGCTAGCTAGTGCTGTGCTGGCAGCGAGGCTCGGGCTAGTCCCGAAGCGTAGGCCGACACGGCCGGGCCAGCAGTGCGAGGTTTGGCAAAACAGTGCGCGCGAAGTTGGCGAAGTTCCGTTAGCAGTAACGGGCGAACAACGGCTGTTGCTGTACGCGATGTAGTCGGGCTCCGTAAGGAATGCCGAGAAAATTCCTTACACTACCCCCCCCCTCAAGAAGCCCCCTCCGCTACGCGAGTGCATGTATGTCGCGGAATCCCCGGCTCCTCAGGTACACTTGCAGGGCAGGGTGGTTTTCAATGTTGGCCAGGGGCACCCAGCTATCCTCAGTTGGCGTGCGGTCCTTCCAGCGAACGAGGAATTCAATCCTCCTGATTCCCGTGGGGTGTCGAATCCGATGGCTCAGGATTTTTTCGGGCTCGATGATCGGCTCCGATGCAGGGCGACTCATGGATGGCGGACGGTGGCGAGGCAATTGGCTTGTGGTTGGGATGTATGGGCGAAGTAAGCTGACGTGGAACGAAGGGCTGATGTACCAGTCGGTCGGTAACAGTAGGTGCGCGGTTACTGGCGTGATCATGTGGCTGATTTGGAATGGGCCACAGTAGCGCGGTCGCAGTTTTGGTACGTCGGGCAGTCGCAGGTTTTGCGTGTCGAGCAGTACGTAATCCCCTGACTGGTAGGTGACGGGTCGGCGGTGGCGGTCAGCGTTGCGCTTAGCGATGACATTTGCTTTTTTAATTGCTTCCGCGGCTCTGGTGCGGGCAGCTTGCAGAATTTCGGCGAATTGTTGTGCACGTGGTGTCGGGTTGTCCGGACTCGGCGTCATGGGCACTGTAGGATTTTGCCCGTAGTTCAGGTAGAAGGGGGACTGCTGCGTCGTCGCTGACGTGGCATTGTTGTACGCGAACTCGATCAGCGGCAGCTGTTGCTCCCAAGTCGTGGGGTCGTCGCACGTGGCACGAATCAACTGCTCCATCGTCTGATTCGTCCGCTCCGTTTGGCCGTCGGTCTCGGGGTGGTACGACGAACTGAACTGTAGCCTGGTCCCGAACTGCTCCCAGAGGTTTTTCCAGAAGTTGCTGGTAAACTTTGTGTCCCTGTCGCTGATAATCGCTGCTGGTATCCCGTGCAGGCGAACAACGGCTGCGATGAACAGACGAGCGGTCCCCTCGGCTGAGATCGACTTTTTGCACGCAGCGAAGTGTGCCATCTTCGTCAGCCTGTCAACGACGACCATCACCGCATCGTTACCCCCAGGGTTCGAAGGTAACCCTGTGACGAAGTCCATGGTAACCTGCTGCCAGGCGCGCTCGGGCGGTGGTATCGGCTGCAATTGACCCGCCTTCCGCTTCCTCGAGCTCTTCATCACCTGACACGTGGGGCACGAGCCCACGTGCTGTTGTACGTCGGTCAACAGCTCCGGCCAGTAATAATACCGCTGCAGTTGCTGTCGCGTTTTTTCTACCCCAAAATGTCCCGAGGTAATTCCGTCGTGTGCCTCCTGTAGTAGCAGCTCCCTCAGTAGTGAGTACGCAGGTACCCAGATGCGGTTGGTGCCTGTTTTTACGTAATAAACTCCTTTAGCTTCTGCCAGTTGCTGTGAGTTTCCGGTCGTGAAAAATGGGTCGGTGCAGTATCCGTGGGTGAATAGGCCTGTTAACAGCGGGTTGGTCTGGGCGAGTAGGATGGCGTGGAGTTGGGCGGTAGGGCGGGTGAGTGCGTCGGCGATGTTGGATGCGCCTTTCTTGTACGTAACCGTGTAGTGGAAGTTGGACTCGAGGTACCGTATCACCCCGGATATAAGCGCAGGCCTATGTTAAGCACATGCGCTTATATCTGGAGCAATGCGCTTATGGCCGATCCTCAATTATAAGCGCACCCCCTGTAAAACCTTGACTTATTATAAGCGCATCAATAATTCTACTATTAAATCCTAATTAATACAGTAACGATTTCCCTTTTTGCAGCGAGTCCAGATCCGTCCCTACTTGTTTGACTCGCTCGAGGGCGAGCGATTCGCAGGAGAAGCGAAACGGCGCGAAGCTGACTGACAGCACATCGTTGGGAGGGGGGGGAGGGAAGATGGGCGCTGGAAACGACTGTCCTGTGCGTTGTGCGAGCGAAAAAGGGGCAGGCGGGGGGGCTCGGGAACGACTGTGCCTCTGCGCTGCGATCAAGCGACTCCGTGCGACTGGCTCGTACATTGGTTCGGGGCGAGCTTGACACATCCCTCTGCGTTGTGACGTGTCCTCACCCCTGTGCGGCGGCTGAAATCGCCCTCGCGCGATTCTCTGATGTGGGACGCTGTAATGTTCTGATTCGATTGAAATTGCACGACAGAGATGTACAGTTTGGTGAATTTAAAACACATTTCTGTAATTTTCATTTTATAAGCGCATGCGCTTATAAATCTGACTCAATTATAAGCGCACCCCCCTAAAAATCACTGTTTTATTATAAGCGCACCTGCGCTTATATCCGGGGTGATACGGTAGTCCAGCCAGCGAATTTGTCGCGGGTTGAGATTTGGTTGGGCGCGTAAGTACTGTAGTGATCGGTGGTCTGTCCGTACTGTCACGTCGGCGCCAGTCAGGTAACACCGCCAAACCTTGAACGCGTGCACGATCGCCAACATTTCGCGGTCGTGTATCGGGTAGTTGCGTTCTGGCGGGTGCAGTTTGCGGGACTCGTACGCGATTGGCTGGAGGCCGTTCCCGAAATCCTGCAACAGTACTGCTCCCACAGCGATGTCACTTGCGTCGGTGACGAGCTCGAACGGACGGTGTGGATCTGCGATGTGAAGCACGGGCGGTGAGCACAAAATGTTTTTGAGGGCCGAGAAGGCAGCTTGCTCTTTCTCCCCCCACGTGTACTCAACCCCCTTCCTCAGCAGGTCAGTCAACGGGGCAGTCAGCTTCGCCATGTCGGGGACGAACCGGCGCACGTAGTTGACGAACCCCAGAAAACTCTGCAACTCGGTCAAGTTGGTCGGCGCGTGCCAAGCTTGAATCATCGCAATTTTCTTCGGGTCTATTTCCACTCCTGCGGCTGAAATAACGTGTCCCAAAAACTCTAGACGGTCCTGTAAAAACTCACACTTAGACGCTTTTGTCAGTAGGCGGTTTTCACTCAGTATTTTAAAAACTGCTTCGATGTCCTGTAAGTGTTGTGTTCTGTCAGGGCTGTAAATCAGTATGTCGTCCAGGTATACTATGACAGGTAATCTAAGAGTGGGCGGAAAGCTTCGTTCATGGTCATTTGGAAAGTGGCGGGGGCGTTGGTCAGTCCGAAGGGCATGACGGTGTATTCGAAGGATCCGTAGCGTGTTCGGAATGCGGTTTTAGGGCAGTCGGGCGGATTGACGCGAATCTGATGGTAACCCCCCCGGAGGTCGATTTTCGAGAAAACCCGGGCTGTGCGCAGTTGGTCGATCAGTTCGTCGGCTCGTGGGATGGGGTAACGAGATTTGATGGTAACCCTGTTCAGTGCTCTGTAATCTATGCACATGCGAAATCCCCCGTCTTTTTTCGGTGTGAACAGTATCGGTGCTGCGAAAGGCGACGAACTAGGGCGAATGAACTCCTTCTCGAGCAGGTAATCGAGCTGCTTCCTCAGTTCGTCCAGTTCGGGCTGGGTCAGTCGGAACTGTCGCTGTACTGTTGGCTGTGCCCCCGGTTCCAATTCTATTCTGTGATCGTGCGGTCGCTGAGGTGGCAGTCCCGTCGGTAAGTCGTCCGGGAAAATGTCGCTGTACTGCTTCAACAGTGCTGCCAGGACACTCGGTACGTCGGTCAGCAGTTTCTGCAAATCCCCTCCCTTGTCTGCTGCCTCGGCTTCCCGAATGTCGACCGCGTACACGTCAGCTCCTGCCGCTACGGCGCGTTTCATCGTGATCGCGTTGACACGCACCGACGAAGACTCAGGCGAGCCCCAGCGAGGTAGGGCGATGTTGTTACCTCGCACGGTGCGATCACCCGTCGTCCAGTCGATTCGCGGATTGTGTCGTCGCAACCAATCACGCCCGAGTAAAATATCGGTTCCGTCGAGGGTCGTTGCGAGCATTTCTTGGCTAAATGTGAAGTTAACCCCGCATCGAATCCGAACCCGGTCTACGCGTTCCCGTATTGCCAGCGGCGTGCCGTCTACCAGGCGTGCGTCGATCTCAGGTAAACATCTGTCCAGTGGCAGTCGCAGTTTTCGTGCTGTAGCAGTGTTGATGAGGCTGTGGCTGGCTCCCCCGTCTACGAAGATTTTAACTAAGTCCGTCCCGATTTTCCCACTAAGCAGTATAGGGCTGTCTACCGTAGTACCCTCCTTATTCGGCCGGGTGTGGTCGATTGCGTGAACCGGCACAATCACTCGGTGAGGGTCGGTTGGGTCGGGCGAGCGTCTTGACCTGTCAGTAGAGGGCCCGTCTGCTACTGACTCCCAGCGTTTCCCTGCTGCTTGGTCTGTTTCTGCTGCTCAGCTTCCCCCTTTCCCTTAGCGTTTTCCGGGCATTCGCTCTTGCGGTGTCCCGGCCGATTGCACGCGAAGCAGCGCCCTTTGAACGGTGCGGCAGCGGCATTCGCGGCGACGGCACGTATCGTAGCGCCCTCGTTCGTCCCATGAGACCGATGTCCCCAGTTGCTGCTACTGCCGTAGGACCCCGGTCTCGGTCGGCGGAAGAAGTCGAGCTTCTCCGCCATAGCGAGAATCTCCTGAAAATCGGTGACGCCGCGAAGCTGAATTTCTTGAGCGATGTCGTGCTTCAGGCCGCCGATGTAGCGGTCGATGCGCTCACTCTCATGCATGTAGCCCACTTGCTCGCATAGCGCCAGAAACCCGCTGGTGTAGTCCTGGACGGAACCGAGTTGGCGCCAAGTGCGGAGCTTCTGTCGCGCCGCGATCGAAGCCGCAATTGGCTCAAATCGAGCGCGCAGACCTGCGCACCACGCGTCCCACGTGCGATATTGGGGCACCTCCACGAAATACGACGGCGCCCAGGGTCCGGTTTGTCCTTCCCGTGTCGGTAGAGTCGCGTAGTCATTCGGCTTCGTGACGATGACGCGCCACCAGTCCATGGCGGGTCCTCGCAGCAGCGACACGGCGTAGCGAATTTTCGCCGAATCCTCCGAGACGTAGTTGGCGTCGAAAAACACGTTCATCGTGAACAACCACGCCTGAACGGTAGGACCACCCCGTTGACTCGGGTCAAAGCATGGCGGACGCTGCGGCTTCAGCGGCATCGGCGACGGCAGTCCCGAATCGTGGGTCGGTGCCAAAATCGTGACGCGAGGCTGACTTGGGGCCGCATACGTCGCTCCGGGGTGTGTCGTGCCGTGGTCGTCGTCTCCGTCGGGGCGGACGACGCCATCACTGGCCGCGCTCGCGGGATTGCCCCACACTTCCGTGCTGTGATGTCTGTGGTGCGGGCTGACTCGGAGTGCCATGTGCTTGGGATTGTGCCCGTGTGAGGTCATTTTGCAGGGATGAGCGTTCTGCCGTCAGCGTCGCAATTTCCTCGGCGCTCTCACGGATTTGTCGCAGCAGATCGTTCAAATGCTCCTGCATGAGGGTCGTGACGTCAATATGTTCAGCCATTTCGAAGGACGTCGGCTCGTCTTAGTCTAGGCGCAGTCGTGGCTGCACGCGTTTACGAGAGAACGCGAGGACAGCGGCTCCTAGGTGCTAAGGTACGTAAGTCCCTTCGAGTGAAAAATCAAAAGTTGATTTCCTGGGGTGCGGAGATGCGCGGTCCGAAAGAAAAGGGGCTCTGATACCAAGTGTTACGGGTGCAATGAATCGAAGTAGCGAGAATTGCACTAAGGTGTCAAACGAGCACAAAGATGTGAGCGAAGGCATGAGCGAACATTTATATGCGAAGCATGCAAACGGTAACGCGGTGCGTGCGAGCTAGCTAGTGCTGTGCTGGCAGCGAGGCTCGGGCTAGTCCCGAAGCGTAGGCCGACACGGCCGGGCCAGCAGTGCGAGGTTTGGCAAAACAGTGCGCGCGAAGTTGGCGAAGTTCCGTTATCAGTAACGGGCGAACAACGGCTGTTGCTGTACGCGATGTAGTCGGGCTCCGTAAGGAATGCCGAGAAAATTCCTTACAGTTATACAGCCACCCGCTCTACTGGACTACAAACTAGACAAGCATTTGCATCACATTACTAGCTTTCTGTCCAGGTGTTTCTTATGCTTCGCTATGAAATTACTCACTATACACTATACCCGCCATACTGACACGGGAAATTTGTAGCACAATGGATTCAGCAATTTAATTCCCGTTATACGTTCGTTCGTGCGCCTTTGATCTCCGTGAGACTTTTACCGTGGCTATGAGATGAAGGTGCTTGACTCATTATGAATCGTGGCAGGGAAACCAGGAACAAGCACACACCATCGTGATCAACTAAAAACCATCAGCACAACAAACTATCCACCCCCCATCAACATAACAAAGCCCCCGAAAGCACGATAAACTATCACCACCAGCGTAAGCAAAGACTTGCCTCATTTTCAGCCAACACCACACATGATACGTGCATGAACAACCCTGAAGCGGTGTCAAAGGGACTACCTTCATCACTGTTGGGGCTGCTTGATGGATGGACTAGGCAGCAGGGGAGGCTAAGAGCTTGGCCACCTCACTCCAAATGGCCCAGGGCTTGTCAATGAGATCAACGGTGTAGTTAATGTGATGCTGGCTGGGCAGAAACTCAAACTCGCACGGAATCTCCGAATCCACATACCCGTTGGTAAACGCCATGCCAACCGACCCTTTCACCTTGAGAGGTAGCGACGCCATCTTTGGCACTAAGGCAGCGAGATTGCTGAGGCCTGGTGCCATCGCATAGATATCAGGAATAGTAAACCCGAGGCACGAGGAGCTCACATCAGGGGGCTGGTTGGGCAAACCACCCACGGTTACCATGGGCACTTTGTGGCGTTTCCCCAGGACGTGCGTGAGGATTGCGCAGGCTGAAAAGCAGTTTCCGTCCGAAAGGACCAGGAAGGGGCGGTCGCCAAACACCGGCTGCTGCTCCTTCCCTGAAAACTTGCTATTCATCTTAAACGGCGCCGAGTAGTTCCCAACAGGGCCGGCTTTTGTGAAGCGGAGCTCGCGGAAAGGAGCGTAGCTAAAGACGCTGGAGAGGTCGGTGCCATTGAGGTCAACATATGGATTAAAGCAGTAGAGCATGGATGGGTCGAGTGAGAGCGCGCTCATGGCATTCTCAGTGTACTGGGTACCGATGTTGAAATCCATCGGCATGGCGAAGGCAGAGTCGGGGACCTTGGCTGCCCCCATGAGGAGACGGATGGCTGTGTATGCGGCAAGAACGGAGCCGCCACCGTTGCCCCGCACGTCTAGGATGACTTGAGAGGCGCCGGATCTGGAGGGAGAGGGGGAACGGGGGGACGGGGGGGACGGGAGGGGGGGGAGCATGGAGGGGCACATGAGCGTTGCTGCTGCGGTGGGACCGCCCGCCACCGTTGCCACGCAGGTCTATGATGATCTGAGAGGCGCCGGATCTGGATGGGGGGCATGGGGTGACGCACATAGCACAGATGGGGGGAGGTATGGGGTAACACATGGGAGAATGTGTGGGGAAACGAACGCACGGGGAAGAGACATGGAAAGAGGGATGGGGGAAAGGGCAAGTAGCGGAAGGGTGGGAAAGTGATGAGGATAAAATGTGAGGTGAAAGATGAGTTGAGAACAGGGTACTAGCATGAGACATGGAGTGGGGACATCAGTGGGTCTGGAGGGGTAGAAGGAAGGGGGGATGTGACGCTGCAGGGTCAATAGATTAACAACTAGAGGGTAGAGGTAAAGGAGTACTGACGCTGCTGCGGTATTAAAAGCCTTAGTGACCTCCGTAATCATATACTGCTCCTCATTGATCTTCTTCGCCTCCAACGCCTTCGTCACCTCGCCGCTGGGACTGAACTGGTGAATCCAGACCACAGCCGTGGTGCCGCCCACCAGGTATACCTGCACGCATGCACACATGGACACATGGACACATGGACACATGCACACATGGACACATGGACACATGCACACATGCGCACATGTGCACGTGCACACACACAGACATGCACACGTGCACACGTGCGCATGGGCACGGCCACACACACAAACTAACAAGTTGGCCGGGCGTTATTAGCCCCACACGCCATGAGACAACAACTAGAAAGCAACCCAAGGATAAGAACTTGATAGCACCCATCACGCAAGAATCAACACAACCTCCACCATTCATCCCAACGACTGAAGGCAACCTCCTCACCAGAAAATCATCAGTCGTTGGTGAAATCCTCTTTACGGTCGGTCCCGCTGCTGCAGCAGAAAGCGACGCAATCTCGACATTCAGGTGATCGCCACTGCCATCGCTCGTATCGTCGTGGTAGTAGACTGGAGCGGGACGGCGTTCGAGAAACCTGTCCATCACCGGAATGTCCGCACGACCGACTGAGCTTGTCTGCGCGCCTGGCTGCGCGCTGTTGCCGCCAGCAACTGATGGGTCCTTCACGGCACAGTATGCCTTCCAGTACCCCGTGGCATTTGCAAAGACGGAAAGCGCAAATGTCCCGATCCATGGCACCTTTACGTCTTCCGTCGAGCTTCCATCCCTGGGAATGGCAGCAAAAAGGAGAACAGGCGGGGTGGGAAGTGGGACACATGAAGCGTGAAGGAGGTCCGATTAGGAGGACGCGTGAGTTAAACTCAGCAAGCAAGCAGCAGGGAAGAATCCAGAAGAGAAAACGGCAGATGCAGCGAAAGTTAGCCAATGAGCAGCAAGTACTGTAGCTCACGCTGTTGCGAATGACACCAGTAAGGTGTCATCTTCGGGAGCATAGAGTCGCCGGGCGAATTCGCCTGGCACCTGAACGATACTCGTCCCTTTCACCGTTCCTGTTCCTGCCGCTTCATTCCTCGCGAAAGCTTTCGTGAATCGCGAAGCGCGATTGCGAAACATGCCCATTTCCTTGTCTGCCCAATTCAGGATGAATGTTTCCGCTTTGACCCCGTTTATAGCCACAACCTGCGACACGCATCATGAAGCATTAGTTTAGATAAAGCGTGTAAAGCTCGCTTGCAGGGAGTATTAAATAATAGGAGCACGGAGATTAGCTAGCGAACATACCTGTCGGCCTTCGTAAAGGCCGAAATCAAAATTGTGCACAACCTTCGCAACATGGTCCATGCCCTCGGGAGTGACATCTGGCCAGAGGTAATAAATAAGAGGAACACGGAGTTTGATATTTAGGGGTACTATGCTTTGAAGTAGGGTGCTGAGGAATATGACGTTGGAACAACTCATCACCAGAGGTGTGATCTCACATACTGGAACACTCAGATCGGCGTGGCACAACGCGGCAGAGTGCGGAAAATCTTATCTTCATTCAACAACCCTCACCGGGAGGGAATGTATTGAGCAACACTCACATCGGCGCGGCGCAACGCGAATGATCTGCTGCCCGTTTTCGACGACAGCCAAGAGCGGCAACGGCAAGTCGAAAGTACCCATGAAGCATTGCGGCATGAAAAAGCTATGCCCGTCGTTGAGCGCCCACACCGCCCGGTACGCCGCCATGTGCGCGTCCACCAGCCGCGGGTACTTCCCCGCGGTGGCGTTCGTGAGGATCTCTCTCAGATCCGCGACAATATCGATGCTGCTCGGGAGGTTCGTCTGGTCCGGCGAGTCGACGGCGATGTGCTTGTACACGTAGTGATTGTCGAACGCGTTCGCGATTGACAGCAGGTCCGCCACGTCGCAGTCCTTCCTGCCAGATCACAAATAGGGACAATCGCGAATAGGGACAATCGCGAATAGGGACATTCGCGATTATCGTGAGATTGGGAAATCTGTTCAGCACATTGAAAACGTAGTGATTGTCGAACGCATTCGCGATCGACCCCCCACGTCGCAGTCCTTCCTGCCAGATCACGGATAGGGACAATCGTAGAACAGCAATCAGGCCAACATCATATTCGAGCGGAGCAAGCGTGGAGTTCGGTTTCAGTAGCCATTATCAGCGAAGATAAAGGAATAGAGAGAAAAATATATATATATTCACAGTACAAGACTAGCAGTGGCAGTACCTGAACAGGAACGTGGAGTGGCAGGCGCTGAAGAGAGAAGGAGAAGCGAATCCTTTCCCTCCAGTCTTGGCCATGCCCCCCAATTTCACGGCAGTGCGCTTCAGCTCCGCCGACAGCGCAGCACACGGGTCGGGCGCGGCTCCGGACGCGACGAAACGGTCCACAGGGACGGCGTCGTAACACGACTTCACCGCAGGAGCCGGCGCCGGCGCAGGCGCCGGCGAAGCTGCCGTCGGCGCCGGCGGGGCTGTCGTCGGCGAAGCCGGGGCTAGCGTTGGGACTGCTTGAGGCGGCGCGGTAGCCCCCGCGGCGGTGAACGCGGCGCCGGGTTCCGTTTCGGCTGTGCTGGCGACGGGGAAAAGGGCGTCGTTCCAGAACCAGTGGCGGGCGGACGCGGAGGGCGCCTGCAGCAGCAATGCGAGGACGAGCAGGGGGAGAAGCCCCGCCGCGGAGAACTTGGCGCGGCGTTCTCCAATGACGGCCATTGCGGCCATTGCGCTGCGGCAGATGCTGCTCCGGGGGACTGGCTCGGTTACGACTCGTGCAAGAGAGGCCCAGCGGCGGTAATGGCACCGTTGCTGGTCAGGGGAGAAACCGTGCGGGAATGAAGTGTGTGGTGATACTCAAGCGTAAATATATACTGTACGACCGGCGAAAGTGGTTGGAACTTGGGCGCGAGTCGAGTCGGGATTGCCCGCCATCGCGACGCCGCCATGGTATGCGACGAGCCCCGCCGCTCAGTCGCCCAGGGCAGGGGCGGGATGCGACGAGCGCCCGAACCGAATATGCTTCGGTGTGGAGGAAGGACCACATAATCCTTTGAATGAGGACGGTTCGTCGCGCCGCTGCGACACATAGCCGCTGCCTTACGACTGTGCAATGCCCTGCGACCTCACTACGGAATGGAAAATGGCGAGGCTATTCCCTGGGATCTGATGATCGGTGGAGGCGAGAGGCAGCACGACTTCGAGTCGTGATACAGATGAAAGAACAGGATGAGCCAGCCGACTTTTGCGTCGAGGTGTTCCCTAGGTTCTCAGAACGAGGGCGCATTTCTCCGGCAATTGTGACGTCCTTTGGAAACGTGGATGTCTAAACATTTTCGTTAATTGATTCACTGCCAGGTTCCTAGGAAAACTTACCAGTCACGAGGCGCTGGGAATGTCGCACCTATCCAAACACTTCAATTAAGTACCACTTTCAAGCGTCAAGTGTCGCGAGCAATCAGTGCAACCCGAGCTGGATTTCGAGAAATGTGTCACCCCTGGTTGCGGAGTCTGATTGTAAAAATGGGTCTGTAACATCTCGGGGATAGTTGGTGCACTAGGGAACGTGTACCAAACCGACAGGCTTGGTTCAGGTGTGTACGCGTTAAACGGAACAGGAATGGCAGATTTATACTAGCAACACCTTATACTTCTTTAGGTGCATCTCCCCAGTTTCACATGTTCAGAATTCCTGGTTCTAGGAGTAAAATCCATTTCACTCATGCATTTGTGATTGCCAAAATCCCAGAACCACCCTGAATACGCCAACAGAAACGTCATCTCATAATTGCTTAGCTCAGACACAAGGGTGCCATCTCCCAAGGCGGCAGCCTCAACACTCTTCTCCACACACGCCTCAATGTGCTCTATGTCGTCCTCTCCCTCCACCATCAGACACACCTGGTAAGACTAGGGGAAGGGTGTGGAGAGGGTGGGGTTGTTGTTTTGTGCAACCCGTGCCATCCTCACCTTCCACCAAGAGCATGGCTGACCTCGTCGTGGTGGGGTGAAGAGTGAAGTGGGCTATCAGGGGCATATCGGCACACAGGAGTGAGTTCATAACCTTCCATTGTGCACTGTGTGACATCTCATGAAACAAAGCAAGGGTGGTTACATAAAAAACACCCCCGTCCCGTTCCTTCTATTTCCATCAACCCTTTCAACTCACATCAACCGCTTTCCACCCATGCCTGCTCCAAGCCCTCCAGTAACGCAATCTCCTTGGTGGCTCACCCCTTCGTGGCGCTCCCAATAGTGGCGCTCTAAAGGCCTCTCAGAAGCACAACCATTACGAGCTCCCTCTCCTGCGGTGCCATGCCCACCTCCTCTCCGCGCATCACATAAGCATCAATGTTTGCCGCTGCCTTTTGAGTCGACTCAAGAGTCATCTCGCATCAATGTTCGCTGCTGCCTTTTGAGTCGACTCAAGAGTCATCTCGCATCAATGTTCGCTGCTGCCTTTTGAGTCGACTCAAGAGTCATCTTGCATCAATGTTCGCTGCTGCCTTTTGAGTCAACTCAAGAGTCATCTCGCATCAATGTTCGCCGCTGCCTTTTGAGTCGACTTAAGAGTCATCTCGCATCAATGTTCGCTGCTGCCTTTTGAGTCGACTCGAGAGTCATCTCGCATCAATGTTCGCTGCTGCCTTTTGAGTCGACTCAAGAGTCATCTCGCATGAATGTTCGCTGCTGCCTTTTGAGTCGACTCAAGAGTCATCTCGCACCAATGTTTGCCGCTGCCTTTCGAGTCGACTCCATCCACCATCAGACACGCCTGGTATGACTCAAGGGGGTGATAGGAAGGGTGAGGTGAGAGTGTGGGGAGGTTAGGGTTATGTAAGCGTTGAAATGAGGTGGGCGCAGGTGACACACAAGTGTTGTGTCGTGATTTCCCTCCACTATCAGATATGCCTGGTGGAATACAAGGGGGTGACAGGTGGGGTGGGGTTGGGAAGAGGGTGGGGGAAGTGTATGTGGTGAGGGTAAATTTGGTTGCCTACGCTATCTTTGCTACTCTCATCTTCCACCATCTGAGAGACTGAGCTCGTTGGGGTGAAGTGTCAGGTCGGGTATGAAGCGCATACCAGGGGTTAGGAGCGATTTTTTTTTTCCGCTGTGCACCTCACTCCTACCACTCTCAATCACTCCCACCACTCCCAATCACTCCCACCACTACCAATCACTCCCAAACACTCCCACCACTACCAATCATTCCCACCACTCCCAAACACTTTCAGCACTTCCAACCACTCCCAACTACTCCAAACCACACCCACCACTCCCAATCACTCCCACCACTCCCAATCACTCCCACCACTCCCAAACACTTTCAGCACTCCCAACCACTCCCAACACTCCCAATCACTCCCAAAAACTCCCAACCACTCTCAGCACTCCCAACCAATCCCAGCAATCCCAACCGCTCCCTTCACTCCCAATCACTCCCACCACTCCCAATCACTCCCAACCACTCCCAAACACTAGCAGCACACCCAGCCACTCCCAGCACTCCGAACCACTCCCACCACTCCCAACCACCCCAGCCACTCCCACCACTCCCAACCACCCCAGCCACTCCCTTCACTCCCATCCCAATCACTCCGACCACTCCCAACCACTCCCAATCATTCTCTGCACTCCCAACCACTTCCAGCACTCCCAATCAATCCCAACCATTCCCAATCACTCCCACCACTCCCAGTCACTCCCAACCACTCTAAACCATTCGCAGCACTCCCGACCACTCCTAACCACTCCCAACCGTTCCCACCACTCCCAACCACTCTCAGCAATCCCAGCCACTCCCACCATCCCCAATCACTCCCACCACTCCCAATCACTCCCAACCACTCCCAACCACTCTCAACACTCCCAATCACTCCCACCACTCCCAATCACTCCCAACCACTCCCAACCACTCTCAGCACTACCAACCATTCCCACCACTCCCAACCACTCCCACGACTCCCACCCACTAACACCTCTCCCAACCACTCCCAACCACTCCCAACACTCACAACCTCTCCCACCACTTACTACCACTCCGGTCACCCCCAACCACTCCCACAATTCCCAACCACTCCCACCACTCACAACCACTCTCAGCACTCCCAATCACTCCCACCAATCCCAATCACTCCCAAGACTCCCAATCACTCCCACCACTCCCAATCACTCCCACCACTCCCAATCAATCCCACCAATCTCAATCACACCCAACACTCCCTACCACACGCAGTACTTCCAACCACTCCCAACCGCTCCCACCACTCCCAGTTACTCTCACCACTCCCAATCACTCCCAACTACTCCCAACCACTCCCACCACTCCTAACCACTCTTAGCACTCTCAATCACTCCCACCACTCCGAACCACTCCCACCTCTCCCATTCGCTCCTACCGCTCCCCCCAACCACTCCCAGCACTCCGAACCACTCTTAGCACTTCCCCCCAATCATTCCCGCCACTCGCATCCACACTCACCACTCTAACCAATCCCACTACTCAAACCCCTCAACTCTGCCAGCAGGGCGTTTCCCAGGAAGCCCATGGCGAGCAGCGCGAGGTCCACTGGAATCACCCCCACCAACACTACCACCACGCCAACCACTTACAACCACTCCCAACCACTAAGTTCCCAGCAGAGGCACTGACCTGCTCCGGGCCCAGGAAGTCCAGAGCAGCGCGAGGTCGATGGGAATCACCACCTTGCTCATCTGGAACCAGCCAAACACGCGCCGTCTCGATGCCCGTCAGCTCGCCCACATCGTTGCTGGTGAATCGCTTCATTGTACCTCGTAGTACCTCGTAGCACCTCGTAGCACCTCGTAGCACCTCGTAGGACCACTGTTGCTGATCACCGCCACCTTCTTGCTGCTCATGGGGAAGGGGAGTGGACAGAGGAGGGGGGTGGGAGGGGGAAGGAGGGTGGGGGTGGTGGGGGGTTGAGAGGAGAATGGAGACTGAATGACTTCCTGCAATCGGTGCTGCTCCTCCCCTCCCTGCTGCTTGCGCCCCTCTGCTGCTCATCCCCTTCTCGCCATTTCCCCCTCCCTGTTGCTCTGCCTGTCCTCACCATTTCCCCCCTCTCTGCTGCTCCTCCCCTCCCTGCCAATTGTTCCCTCTCTGTGCTCCCCCCCTACTCACCATTCCCCCCATCTCTGTTGCTCAACCCCTACTCACCATTCCCCCCATCTCTGTTGCTCAACCCCTACTCACCATTCCCCCCATCTCTGTTGCTCAACCCCTACTCACCATTCCCCCCATCTCTGTTGCTCAACCCCTACTCACCATTCCCCCCATCTCTGTTGCTCAACCCCTACTCACCATTCCCCCCATCTCTGTTGCTCAACCCCTACTCACCATTCCCCCCATCTCTGTTGCTCAACCCCTACTCACCATTCCCCCCATCTCTGTTGCTCAACCCCTACTCACCATTCCCCCCATCTCTGCTGCGCGTCTAGCACTGCACAGTTGAGCTGCCATTCCAGCTCGACCGAGAATGCTTCGTTGTGAAACTACTCGCTTTACTCACTGGACAAACATGCCCATCATGTAGCACAATAAATGAAGTATACTTTTCCCCGTAAATAGCTTTCATATACGAGCATATATTATCTCCATGTATGCTGTACACCTTCGTTGCACGCGCAAAAAAAGCTACCGGTAGCAATCTGCACCAGCAAGTTGCGCTATAACTAATCCATCCAGTCATTGTTTTTTACATTGTTGCTGGAAAGAAAGCATCTTAGTACATGTGTTTGAGACAAAGGTGATTTGTTCTGCCCATAACAGGAATGAAATCAGCCAGAGTTATGGTATGTTATGTGAAACTGGATGATACAGAGAACACTCATTAGAATGATAGCTCACCCCGATCTTCAGGAGAAATACTGAATATCACGATAAATTAAACATCATCAGCACAACAACCACCATCCATCAACATACCCAAGCATGATAAATATCCACCACCACCATAAGCAATTAGTCTAGGAGCCCCGTTTTCAACCAACACCACACATGGAGGGGCATTAATAATAAGGCTCAAGTGGTTCAACCACTGGGGTGCCCGAGGAATGGACTAGGCAGCAGCGGAGGCAAAGAGTTTGGCCACCTCAGTCCACATGGCCCAGGGCTTGTCAATGAGATCAACGGTGTAGTTGATGTGATGCTGGCTGGGCAGAAACTCAAACTCGCACGGAATCTCCGAATCCACGTAGGCATTGGTAAACGCCATGGTAAGCATCCCTTGCACCTTGAGAGGCATCGACCCCTTCTGTGGGTCCGTGGCAGCGAGTTTGTACAGACCTTCAGCCATCGCATAGTAGTCAGTCAGGGTAAACCCGAGGCACGAGGAGCTCACATCGGGGGGCTGGTTGGGCAAACCACCCACGGCTACCATGGGTACTTTGTGGCGTTTCCCCAGGACGTGCGTGAGGACGGCGCACGCAGAGTAGCAGTTTCCGTCCGACAGGACCACGAAGGGGCGGTCGCCAAACACCGGCTCTTTCTGCGTCACGGGAAGCTGCTTCCTGTAATCAAACTTGAACGGCGCCGAGTAATTCCCGGCACGGCCGGCCTCTGTGAAGCGGAGCTCGCGGAAAGGCGCGTAGTCAAAGACGCTCGAAATCTCGGTGCCGTTCAGATCGGTGTACAGCCCTTGGTAGTAGTGCGGCGCCGTGGTGTTGTCGACAGAAAGCACACCCATGGCCTTCTCTGTGTACGGCGTGCCGATGACGAAATCCAAGGGGAGGGTGAACTGGGAGTCTGGGACCTTGGCTGCCCCCATTAGTAGGCGCACTGCTGTGTATGCTGCTTGCACGGAGCCGCCACTGTTGCCCCGCACGTCTATGATGATCTGAGTGGCGTTGGATCTGGAGAGAGAGGAGGGGGGGGCGGGGGAGGGGAGGAGGGGGAGGACATGCGGAAATGCGGACGCATGAGCAGGCGGATGGCTGTGAATGCTGCTGCTTGCACGGAGCCGCCGCTGTTGCCCCGCACGTCTATGATGACCTGTGAGGCGTTGGATGTGAAAGGGAGGCGCATGGGGGGAGGCAGGCATGGGGGTGCATGGGGAGGCACAGATACACATGGGGACTGGGCAAGTGGGGGCAAGCAGGGGCAAGAGGGGGCAAGCAGGGGCAAGAAGGGGCAGGCAGGGGCAAGAGGGGGCAAGCAGGGGCAAGAGGGGGCAAGCAGGGGCAAGAGGGGGCAAGAGGGAGCAAGAAGAGGCACGAGGGGGCAAGAAGAGGCACGAGGGGGCAAGCAGAGGCACGAGGGGGCAAGCAGAGGCACGAGGGGGCAAGCAGAGGCACGAGGGGGCAAGCAGAGGCACTTGTTCACAAGGATGTTCCACGCTCTAAGGGCTTGAATCAGGTGCGTACGCATTAGACGAAACTGGAATGGCAATTTTATTTGCCTCCAGGCACATTTTCCCAGTTTCACAATATGAAAATTCCAGGTTCTAGATTCCCATCTCATGCATGCAGGTTGATAAGGTATATATTTATGATTGCGACATGGCATAACAGAACCTTGAACCACCCTGATGTTTTAATCACACTAATTCACTCCTAAATATAACCAGCCAGCAGACTTCAACCCAACATGGCAGCCTTGAGAAACTCTAATAGCTCTGCTCCGACACAGGGGTGCCGTCTCCCAAGGCAGCAGCCTCAACACTCTTCTCCACACACGCCTCAATGTGCTCCGTATCGTCCTCTCCCTCTACCATCAGACACGCCTGGTGGGGCAAGGGGGTGACAGGTCGGGCGGGGGTGAGGGGAAGGGAGGGTAGGGATGGTTGTCAGAGCAATGAGTCCAATCATCAGCTCCTTCATGGGGGAAAAGCTAGTGGGGCATATCAAGGGCATACCAGCCTTGAATATAAAACCCTCCCGCACCTGGGAACGCTCTCCCTTCCAGGCTCAATATGACTACCCCGTCCTCACCCCCCCATCCTCATCCCCCACCATCCCCACCCCCACACCTTCACCCTTTCAACTCACAATCCGCTTCCGCCCATGACTGCTCCACCCCTTTGAGAACCATCGCCCACCCAGCCTCCCCCACACCCATCAGCCCCACTCCCCAATCATCAACCAAACCCCTTTCAACTCACATCAACCGCTTCCACCCATGCCTGCTCCACGCCCTCCGGGAACGCTCTCCCCTTCGTGGCACTCCCATTTGTAGCACTTCCATTAGTGGCACTCCCGTTAGTGGCACTGCCATTGGTGGCAGCGCTCCGCTCAGCAGCAATGAGTCCAATCATCAGCTCCTTCATGGGGGAAAAGCTAGTGGGGCATATCAAGGGCATACCAGCCTTGAATATAAAACCCTCCCGCACCTGGGAACGCTCTCCCTTCCAGGCTCAATATGACTACCCCGTCCTCACCCCCCCATCCTCATCCCCCACCATCCCCACCCCCACACCTTCACCCTTTCAACTCACAATCCGCTTCCGCCCATGACTGCTCCACCCCTTTGAGAACCATCGCCCACCCAGCCTCCCCCACACCCATCAGCCCCACTCCCCAATCATCAACCAAACCCCTTTCAACTCACATCAACCGCTTCCACCCATGCCTGCTCCACGCCCTCCGGGAACGCTCTCCCCTTCGTGGCACTCCCATTTGTAGCACTTCCATTAGTGGCACTCCCGTTAGTGGCACTGCCATTGGTGGCAGCGCTCCGCTCAGCAGCAATGAGTCCAATCATCAGCTCCTTCATGGGGGAAAAGCTAGTGGGGCATATCAAGGGCATACCAGCCTTGAATATAAAACCCTCCCGCACCTGGGAACGCTCTCCCTTCCAGGCTCAATATGACTACCCCGTCCTCACCCCCCCATCCTCATCCCCCACCATCCCCACCCCCACACCTTCACCCTTTCAACTCACAATCCGCTTCCGCCCATGACTGCTCCACCCCTTTGAGAACCATCGCCCACCCAGCCTCTCCCACACCCATCAGCCCCACTCCCCAATCATCAACCAAACCCCTTTCAACTCACATCAACCGCTTCCACCCGTGCCTGCTCCACGCCCTCCGGGAACGCTCTCCCCTTCGTGGCACTCCCATTTGTAGCACTTCCATTAGTGGCACTCCCGTTAGTGGCACTGCCATTGGTGGCAGCGCTCCGCTCAGCAGCGTCCACAGCAGCAACAGTCCTGGCAGCCACCTCCACGAGCTCCCTCTCCTGCGGTGCCATGTCCACCTCCTCTCCACGCATCACATATGCGTCGATGTTCGCCGCTGCGCCACGGCCCTCCGCAATAGCCCACACCACCAGAGACTGGAGAGAAGGGGAGCGCAGGGGGACAGGCAGAAGGTGGGTTGTTTCAGAGTAGAACAGTGACTACCATAACATAGCAGGGAGGCAGCAGCTGCCCTGACACAGTTCTTCGCACAAAGAACAGTAGGAAGGCATTTCAAGGCACAGGAGAAGCGAGGCTAGGTAGCAGGGCCGTACCTGTCCGCGGCGGCAGTCGCCGGCAGCAAAGACGCCCTCCAGGTTGGTGGCGAACTGCCCGTAGTCCGCCTGGAAGTTGCTCCTCGCGTCCGTCTTCAGCCCCAGCTTCTCCGCCACATTCTGCACCCAGGAGACGGAGGGGGTAAGGTAAGGGGTTGCCCCACAAGCACTCCGACCCAATGCACCACCACTACAGACACTCTGCGCACTCCCACAACTCCCAGCACACCCCAGGCAAGGCACTGACCTGCTCCGGGCCCAGGAAGCCCATGGCGAGCAGAGCGAGGTCGACGGGGATCACCTCCTCGGACCCCGCCACCTCGCTCATCTGGAACCTTCCAGAAGCGTCCTTGGCCCACTGCACGCGCACCGTCTCGATGCCCGTCAGCTCGCCCGCATCGTTCCCGATGAACCGCTTCGTCAGCACCTCGTACGACCGCGGGTCGGATCCGAACTTGGTCTTGGCCTCCTCGTGGCCATAGTCCACCCGGAAGATACGCGGCCACTGGGGGTAGTAGAGGAGAGAAGGGGTGGCAAGGGGTGGTTGTGAGGGAGAGAGGCCCATGAATGAGAGCAGCTGGCACCGGGGGTGCAAGGCCACACCAGCCAATGGGTTTTACTACACAGCACATCAGCCAGGACAACAACCGTACCTGCGGCCAGGGGTTGCCATCGGCGCGGGACGGCGGCGGCTGCGGCAGCAGCTCCAGATTCACCAGCGACTCGCACCCGTGCCTCAGACTCGTGCCAATGCAGTCCGTGCCCGTGTCACCTCCACCAATCACGACCACCTTCTTGCCCTCCGCCGAGATAAACCTCCCGTCCTTGAGCCCGCTGTCCAGCAGCGACTTGGTGTTCGCCGCGAGGAAATCCATGGCGAAATGCACGCCCTTGAGCTCGCGCCCGGGGACGGGCAGATCCCTTGGCTTGGTCGACCCGCAGGCAAGCAGCATGGCATCATTATCTGCTCTGAGCTTATCCAGGCTGTA